CTGAGCTGAAAATGGATCAGATGTTAACAAGTGCTGAGGGGAGAAAAATATAGAAATCAGAGAAATGGTTGGGGGATAAATCGCTGCCTTGCAACAGAGGCCCCTGATTTAATGGGGTACCAGGAAAACTTTAAGGACCGGCTCTCTGGGGAGAGCGCAGGTGCATAGCATTCGTTGATTTCTGTGGCGTAAACGCTCCCACCATGGCCTCCTTCAGGCTGGCGGTGTGGCCGCACGGGACACCGAGTTGGAAAGAATTGCAGACAATGGGCTGTAGCTGCCCCGACACACCACTGGCGTGATGGGTCACTGCGCTGTCGGGGAAGGCGTCAGCCTTTAGTGAGGGCGCTGTTCAGTGGGGGCCTTTCCAAGGACAACCTTTCAGGCAACGGTCCTGGGAAGACGGCAGCCACAGGCGGAAGGATGAGGTTGGACCCTTCACTAACTCCACGGACAAAAATAAACTCGGAGTGGATCAAAGACCTAAATGGAAGATCTGAAACGATAAAGCTCTTAGAGGAAAACGGAGCAAAGCCTTTATGACATCGGATTTGCTGATGATTTCTTGGCTACGACACCAAAGGCACAGGCAGCAGCAACAAAAAAATGGGTGACCTGGGCTTCATGAAAATTAAAAGAAAATAGTATGTCAAAAACCAATATCAACAGAATAAAAATGCAATCCACAGAATGGGAGAAAATATCAGGAAATCGTATATCCAATAAGGGATTAACATCAAAATATGGAGAATTCCTAAAACTCAACAACAAGGAAACATACGACTCCATTCAAAAATGGCCACATGATTAAACAGACATTCCTTTAAAGAAAATACACATATTGCCAATAAACCCATGAAAAGAGGCTGAAGAAGATTGTTAGAGAAATGTAAATCAAAAGTACAATGAGATACCACCTCACGGCCATTTTGATGGCTACTATTTAAAAAAAACAACAACAAACAAACCCAGAAAGTAAGAAGAATTAGCAAGGATGTGGAAAAAATGGAATCTTTGTGCACCGATGGTGGGAATGTCAAAAGGTAGAAAACGATGTGATAGTTCCTCAAAAGTTAAAAATAAAATTACCATACGACTCAGCAACTTCATTTCCGGGTGTACATGCAAAAGAATTGGAAGCAGGGGCTGTGAGAGCGATGGGTACCACTGTGTTCATGGCGACGACATTGTTCCCAACAGCTAAAGCATAGAAGCAACCCAGGTGTCTGTCGACAGATGAATGCGTGAGCAAAGCCTGGTGCATCCTTTGAACGGAATATTATTCAGCCTTAGGAAGAAAGGAGATTCTGACACAGGCTACAGCGCAGATGAACCCAGAGGACATCATGCTAAGTGAAATAAGCCAGTCGCAAAAGGACACATACTGTATGGTTCCACTCACAAGAGACACTTGGAGGAGTCAAATTCTTAGAGGCAGAAAGTAGAATGGTGGGTACCAGAAGCTCGGGGGGAAAGGAGAGTTATTGTTTAACAGGAATAGAATTTCAGTTTTGCAAAATGGAAAATGTTATGGAGATCGATGGTGACGACGGCTGCAAAAAACATTATGAATGTATTTTAATATACTTAAGAACGGTTAAGATGATGCATTTTATGTGTATTTCACCACAGTAAAAATACCTGGAAAAATAAACATATGTTGAGCAAAAGAAAGCAGACACAAGAGTACATGCTTTATGATCTCATTTATCTGAAACCACAGAAAAAGCAATTCTAATCTGAAGTGACAGAAAACAGATAATCGGTTGCCTAGCACCGGGGACGGGGGTAGTAGATCAACGACGAAGGAGCACAAGGGAATGTTTTGGAGTGATGGGAATGATCCCTGACTTGATTATGGTGGGGGTTGCCTGGGTACATAAATCTGCCCAAACTGATAGAAGTGTACACTTAAATTGGGTGCATTGTATTGCATATAAATTACACTGCAATAACATTGATTTAAAAAAAAAAGCAGCGGGCCAGAATAGCAGGAAATTACTACTTCTGAAAGCAGGCAGAGTTCAGGAATAATTTCCCCCATGGCCAGACCAGCGCTGTTTCATCTTGATAAAGCTGATGGCAGTGCTGCAGGTGAGCTCTCGGGAGCAAAGAGATGCTGCATGGACTGTGAAAACAGCAGTCCTCTACCAGCACGAATGATTCTGCAGGTCACGGGCACACGCTGCTCATTGCAGCCAGAAAGTGCAATAAAGGCAGCAGCGCTGTGGTGACTCATCGGAAGGGCTCAGGGTGCTGTGGGTGGTTCACACCTCCGGGGAGGGAGGTCAGGACAGAGGACGCGGAGTTCCGAAGATGGAACTTCCACATCTCTTCCCAGGACAACAGCAAAGCATCACTTGTTGATAACAGTTTCACCTGCAGGGAGATATGTTTTGCCCTTTTTGATTCTTGATGCTGAAAAGCAAACAATAACAACCACGACAAAAGTGACTGCTCGTGTTAATGACGCAGCAGCTCATTTGTCCTTGAAATTAAAACCAGGAACCAAATACCCCTTTACTGCTGATTGATTACAAATGATTCCATTCCGCTCTTAACAAAGCTTGTTTTCAGTTATACATATCACCCCAGATTTAATTCCCTCAGTTTTTATTGTAGCTCATCAGTTTGTTTAATGATAACAATTCAATAATTTTGTTTTATTTCAAAGAATGTTTTTTTAAGATTTTATTTATTTATTTATTTTTAGAGAGAAGAGAAGAGAGGGAGAAAGAGAGGAAGAGAAACATCAATGTGTGGTTGCCTCTCACACACACCCCCACTGGGGACCTGGCCCACAACCCAGGCATGTGCCCTGACTGGGAATTGAACTGGTGACCCTTTGGTTCACAGCCCACGCTCAATCCGCAGAGCTACACCAGCCAGGGCTATTTCATGGAATGTGTTTTGATGGTTACTTTCTGCTTATGGAAAGTGAGACTTGTATTCTCTTTATATAGTGTGACATGGCATTTTCTTTTAAAGTAAATGTTTTAACAAAAATGTATCGGTCTAAGGAAAACTATCACTGGGGGGGGCGATAAGCGGGTCAGGCAAATATTGCGGCAGGACTGCTCAAACGTACGAGGGTCTGGAAAGGCTGTTCCCTTTCCAGTTCCCGTTTTCTTGTTCGTTGAGAGGGCAGGGGTGGGCTCACCTGGGGCATCTTTTTTTTTTTCTCAAGATTTTATTTTCAGAGAGAGGGGAAGGGAAGGAGAAAGAGAGGGATAGAAACCTCAATGTGTGGTTGCCTCTCATGTATCCCCCCCTCACTGGGGACCTGGCCTGCAACTCCAGCACGTGCCCTGACTGGGAATCAAACCAGCAAACCTCTGACTCCCAGGCCTGTGCTTAATCCACTGAGCTATGCCAGCCAGGGCTGGGGCATCTTGATAGGACAGAGCAGGGTCAGCAGTGCCCTATACATGTGAGCCACTTTTTATCTTTTATACCTATTTTTACTGTAGCTTTTCTATGTGTAGATGTGTTTAGACCCATAAATACTTACCATCGTGTCACAGTTGCCTACGGCATTCAGTGCGGTGACACGCTGCACAGGTGTGTAGCCTGGGAGCAACAGGCTGTCTGCCACATAGCCCAATGTGTGTGCAGCAGGCTGTACCTCTGGGTTTGTGTGAGTGCACTCTGTGAAGTTCACGCAATGACGGAATCGCCTCAAGACGAATTTCCCAGAACATACCCCCTCCCCAAAGTGACGCACGACTGTAATTGCCTGTTGACATCACGACGTAGGGCTTGTTGGCAATTTAATATGTCCTAAATATGTTCACGGCTCCCTACCCTGACCAAAATCTGCTCCCCTCATTTCCCCCCACATTTGTGAATGGAGCCACTGTGGACCCAGTTGCACCAGCCAAAAACCTTGTAGCTATCCTTGACTCCTTCCTTTCTCTCTCAACTCACATCCAGTCCAATCGTGCATCTCTCTCTTCTACCTTAAAAAAAAAATCCTAATCTGATTATTTCTCACTGCCCCCTCCCTGACCATACTAGCCCGAGTTGCCACTGCTTCTTATTTAGACGCCTTTCCTGCTTCTGTCTGGTCTTACCTCTTCATAGACTATTCTCTAAACAGCCACCAGAGTGATCTTTGCAAAATATAAGCAGATATACTCACGTCCCTGCTCCGGATTCTCTAGCAGCTTCCATCACACTTAGAATCAAATCCAAATTCCTTATTGAGAACTTCTAAGATTCAGGCTGCTACCACCTGGCCGATTCCGCTCCCTACCGCCCCCTACCGTCTCTGCCCCCGCACTGCAGCCACGCTGTTTTCCCCACCAGGCACAAGCCTTTCTAATGCCGTCTGCAGGAGTGCTCGCCCTCTGGGGGGTCACCTTGGCTCACCCCGTAACTTCATTCAGTTTGCTGCTCGATGTCCTCTCCTCAGAAGACATTGTCTCTAATCATCCTATTGTCACCGTCACTCTCTATGCCTTTCCTTGCTTTATTTTTCCCGTGTTTTTTCCCCCTAAACACTTTCTGCCTGAGCCAGTATTTTAGTTAGTTAGTTCACTAGTTATTGACTCGCCCGCTAAAACATAAACGTCATTAGACCAGGGACCTCTTTACCTTCGCATGCCCAAAGCCTAGAACAGGGCCTGGCACACAGGAAGCCCTCCGAACCTCTGCGCTGAATGAATGAGTGACTTGGCGAGGGCAACGGGTGCAAATAGGTCCTAGCCAGTAGCTTCCCACGGCCACCTGCCCCCACGCCCTTTTCAACCCCAGGGCGCCAGGAACACCTCGCGGGGTTGAGGGAGTCTCAGCTCCCGTCGTCCTCCCGCCCAGGGGGGGAGTCGAGGCTCAGCGCGGCTGCAGCGGGATGGAGCCGCGGCCGCGCGTTCCTCTCTATGGTCTCGGTCCCCAAGCCCCTCCTCCCGGGCCCCCGGCGAGCCTCTATGGTTCTTCCTGTCATTAGTCGGGAGGGGGCGCTGTGCGCAGGCGCGAGGTGACGCCGCGGCAGGGCCGGAAGGAGCGCAGCTGGGGCCTCGGCGGCGGCGGCGACGGAGCTGTCGGCCGCGGCTTGTGGACACTAAAAGCCCCGGCGACGGAAGGCGACAGAAGCCGCCAAGCCCCCCCGGCGAGCCGAAGAGTTGAGTGGCGAGTAAGTGTCGGCCGCGGGGCGCGCCCCGCTCCTCCGCGAGGCGAGCGGCGTCTCCGCCCGGCGCCTCCCTCAGCCCGGGGTCGGGGCGGGGGCCTCGGCCGTGAGGGGCGGCGGGGGCGCGGGGCGCCGGCCGGCCGGAGCGGCGGGGCCGGCCGCGAGGCGGGCGCGACAAAGGCGCGCGCGGCCGGCGGACCCTCCCCCGCTCCCCGCACTTCGGGAAGTTTCGCGGGCCGGTCCGGCCGCCCGCGGCGCGAGGGCGAAAGCGCCGAAAGTCCGAGTTTGCGGGACGGCACCTCCCGGGAGGCGGCGTCAGCGCGGGGGGCGATGCGCTGTGACTTTGAACTCCGGCGGCCCCGGCCCCGGGGGCTGCCGGGCCGCAGCCCTGCAGCCGCGGACTCCGCTCGGGGGGCCGTGCAGGTGCGCGCCAGCCCCTGCGGCGCGGAGGCCGGGGTCCCGACGCACGTGCTGCGGTGCGGGGCGGCGAACGTCCACGTCGCTCCCGCTCGGCTGGGGCCGAGCGCTGCGCAACGCGGGTCCCAAACTTCGGGCCACTTCAGGGCCGTGACGAGCCGCCCGGAGTGCCCGCGGGGCCCGTTTCAGTTTCTAGGGCCGCTCCCCGCGCGCGCTGGCCAGGGACCCTGCGGACCACCGCAGTGCGCAGGGACAGGTGCCCCGGCACGGCCCGCCCCGGACATTCTGCTGCGGGACGGGGACCGTTCCCCGCGGGCGGAGGGCGGGGGAGACTTGGGGGCGGACCCCGACTCCGGGACCGGGTCCGGAGGAGGGCGCTCGGGACTGGCCCGGCTCTGTTTGCGTCCGAGCGAGTGCTCGCGGCCGCGGCCGGGGGTGGGGAGGGCTTGGACTTGAGGAAGTAGCGGCAGGCGCAGACTTTCGATTTTTACCCGGAGGGCTGGCGGCAGCCGCGGAGGGGAGCCCTGCAGCCCCGGAGGGCGCGAGTCCGCGAAGTGGGGATGGGAGCCGCGGAGACAAAGTTTCTGAACTGGGATGGCCAAGAGAATCTGTCTGTTACCGCCGGTGGCTACTGTTTAATTAATGAGTGTTTGCTCTGTTCTAGGCTGTGCAGATTTTCACAGACTTCTCACTGATCGCGCGCCTACTTACCCGTGCTGTGTTGTCTTCATTGCTGATAATACAGTGATAGCACAGAACAGGATGCTGCGTGGCACTGTTCTAAGCGTCTTCTGCGGGCTAACTGTTAATCCTCAGTGACGTGGGTTTTACTGTATTTTAAAAGGAAGAAAATGTGCTACAAAATAGCGTACCTAACCACAAAGCTTGCAAGGGCCTGAGCTAGAACGTGACTCAGTTTGCTTCCAGAGTTCATGCTCCTAATCATCCTGCTCTAGTACTGTGGATATTTATTCAACGAAACCTCGTAGGGAGTATTAATTTCGTGCCAGGCCGTGTGCATGTCCTGGGCTCAGGGGAATGAATAAGAGGCGGGGCCCCGTCTTCGTGGAACTTGTTTTAGCGGAGGAGATGGACGTTAAATGCAGCTGCCTGAGTAATTGTAGATGACACTTCTGCCGAGTCCTTGGAAGGAATGAGAGAGGTGTGACTGAACACTGGAGATAGTCAGGAAAGGTCTCTGTCTGAGCAAGTGACATTCAGGATGAAGCAGGACGATCAAGTTCATTTGGTCCGAGACAGGCAGTGGAGGATAATCCAGCCAGAGAAGAGAGCCAGAGTGGAAGGAAGGAGCATGCCCTGTTCAAGAAACAGCCATTATCTCTGCGGAATGGTGAGCTGGCCAGAGGCAGGAGGTGAGGCTAGCAGTGCCAGCAGGGGTCCTTCCTGCGCAGCAGGGTTTCGCAGGCTCTACCGTGGTGAGGTTTGTGGTTCAGAGAAACAGGCTCTGGGGCTGTGTTCAGATATGGCAGGGGAGAACCTGTAGGCGGTATTGGGGTGGAAGGGACAGGGTGTCATGGGCTCACGTAGTATTCAACTATGAAAGGGTCCTTGCAAACATTGATTCCTACTGCCACCACCACCTTATAGATGAGAATGTTCTTACTGTCCTGGTTTCTCAGCCAGTGTTCAGTTGACGATCAAGGGAAATCTTAATGTTATATGTTAAACTCTTTAGCCTACCCAAAGAAGATCTTGAATTTAATTTTTGGGTTAAAAGCTCTTCTGTTGCACACACACAAAAAAGCATGCGCGCGCACACACACACACACACACACACACACACAAACAACTAATTACAGGATTTTTAGAGCTCTTTTACACTCCAGACTAATTGTTCACGTAATTGTATCTAGTTATGCATGGTGATACACTTTGGTTTCTCTTCCGTTTGTGTAAATCTTTCGCCTTAATTATGGATGGTGTTTTACCTTCGTTCTTCCATTTTTGTCAATGTATTTAATACTCGTTGCACTTTCTTATTCTGAGTTCCTCGCCTGCCTTGTGCTTAATAGTATCACCATCCTTCAGTCACCTGATTTCAACATCTAGGTCACCTATGCCTCCTTTCTTTCTGTTGCCCTGAGGACTGATTACATACAAAAATCCCAGTGAATCTAATTCTGCAGTTGGTATCGTGTATCTTTCTCTTCCCCTGTTAGCTCCCGGGCAGACTTCCCTAGCCCTTGTCTCTGCGTGCCCTGCCGCCAGGTGTCTCCTACGGCCTGACCTACGTACTGCAGCTGGGCCGGCTTTCCTGAAGCAGAACTCTGCGCTGCTCCCCGTTGAGTGGAAAATAAAGTCAGAGCTCGGTCTGCATCGGCTAGCTGTTGCTACATAGCAAACCACTCCATGCTCAGTGACCTAATCCAACACCACAGTTTCAGTTGTTGACGGTTTTGTGAGTCAGGAGATCGGGAAAGGCTCACCTGGGCCATTTTTTTCTGATGCTCATGCTGTCCCACAAGGTGGCCAGGGCTGGAGGTCCCACTGGCAAAATGGCTTCCTCACTCCCGAGCCTTGTCAGGCTGCTGGAGGGCAGGGCTGGCCTGGCCCCGTCCGGGTGCGGGGTCGGGGCTTTCCGTGTGACCTCTCCAGCGGTGCATTCGGACTTCTTGCGTGGTGGCTCTGGGCTTCGGGAGCCTGAGGCAGAGGCTGCTGCCCCTCCTAGAGGCTCGCCTGGAGCTGGCACTGCACTCAGTTTAACTTAGACACTGCCGCCTCTGCCAAGTGTTTCCGGGCGGCCTGCCTTTCCCCAGCTGCAGTAGGCTTTCTCCTGCACTGACGGTTTTCCGCTTTTTAGTGTACCTAATTGTATGCACATTTTCTCTCACTGATGGGACTCCATGTTTTTAAAAAGATTTTATTTATTATTTTTAGAAAGAGGGGAAGGGGAAAGAGGGAAGGAGAAAGGGAGAGGAACATCAGTGTGTGGTTGCCTCTTGCATGCTCCCTACTGGGGACCTGGCCTGCAACCCAGGCATGTGTCCTGACTGACGATTGAACCAGCGACCGTTTGGTTCATAGGCCGACACTCAGTCCACTGAGCCACACCAGCCAGGGCTAATGTATTTTAATTTTTAGGTATTAATGTAAATAATGTCAATTTAGTATAAAAAATTAGGAAATGTAAGGAAGCAAAAATGACTTTAAACTTACTACTTCGAAAGAACTGTTATTAACTTCTGTTGTGTTGATTTAATACTGATTAAATATTAGTATATTTAAATATACTAGTGGATATCCAAATACTGGTTAAGATGAGAAACTAGCATTTGAATGAGAAGCAAAAATTACTTACAGACACTTGAAAAACCCGCTAGGAAGAGGCCTGTGGGGGCTGCTGTGATGGGCATGTCCGCGGCTCCCAGCCTGTGCTTGACTCTGCTTTGCCCACCTTTCCTGTGGTGTTCGTAGATGGACCCATTAAATCTGAAACATCTTTTATTGCCCCAGACTCAGTGTTTGCAGAAGTGACAGGCACATTTATGGAGCTCACGCTGGACAGCAGGAGCACTGCAGGACCCCAGGACCGAGCGGTGTTGTACCAGGAGCATGCGTAAGGAAGAGTGGAAGGGACCGTGAATGGAAGGATGAGAAGGAAACGACTGTTGGGCCCATCTGTCTCTGGCCGTAGGAAGCAAGGATGCAATCCAAAAGCCAGAAAATTGCGTGAGGGAACCATGGATGATGCCTTTGTTTTCTCCTGACTTTTTTTTTTTTTTTCCAAATTTTCTGTGACGGGCCATATTTTATAACCGAAGAAAATCCTGATAAACTGAAGGTTGTCATTTAAGCCGTTTTACCTGACTTGGGTTACACGTGGTTCTGATTTACACCTCCAGCTTGGACAGTGAGAGGTGCGTTTGGAGCCACTCAGTAAGCCGACTCTGAGACACTGGAGATGCAGCTGCGAGTGAGACACAGTCACGGGCACAGGGAGCAGGCGATTCAGGGGTGAACTCCTTCTCCTGTGTTGGTTCAGCCATGAAGGGGAAGACAGTGTTGGAGTGGAAGAGAACACAGAAGAACTGTCATCTAATTTTCTTAAATGTTTACAATGTAGTACTTCTACTGAAGATTCTCCACGGTTACAGAGTGGAAAAAATATGTGCTGATTTTTAGTTTGAATTTTGGAAACATTTACTGATATTGGACTATAAACTGTAGTCATTAACATACCTATAATTGTTACAATAAAGAGAAGAGGTAAGAACTGACATAATCTTTCTTGGGTGGCATTCCAGTTTCTGAACTTCACCTTTTTTCAGCTGTTCTCTTCAGTTGTCTGACCAAGAAGTGAATAGCTTCTTGCTACTTCCAGAGGGAAAAGGAAGTTTGTTTTGTAGAAGAAAGGAAGCTTTACTGTGAATAGTCACACTACTAGTGAAAAGTAACTTGCAAGAGGGAAATAGAGTCCTCCCTCTTGTTTTGCTGTATTATCAACTTTTATTATTAATAAACACTGCATCCTCTGCTGTGTACTTGTGATAAAGCTCTTTTTATTTAATCGCCAGCACTGCCTCATAAGAATAGCTCTTTCTGTTTCACAGATAATGATAAGGGTGGTAATGCGACAGTTGCTGTGCACCAGGCACTGTGCTAAAAACTTTATACATATTTAACACAATTAAATTTTAAAATAACTGTATTCTCATTTTACAAATGGAGGAACCCTTAGGCCTAAGAGATTAAGCAGTTTACAAGGTTACTGATTCACTAAATGGTGAAACCAGGCTTATACCTAAGCAGTCTGTTGTGAAGCCCAGATGAGAGGACTGAATGTCAGAGGGTTGAGTGACTGCTGCAGAGAAACTAGTCAGAAGTAGAAATTCCATCATCAGATTCTTTTTCTCACTGCAGCTTCCGTCCACTGTGTGTGCACGAGAAATCTTGCTTTTAAAGCACCACTACCAACTGGCTTAACTTCAAGATTGACATTCTAACTAAATTAGGTATAAAATAAGTCACATTTCCTTTTGATTACCAGTGTAAAATGGAAGGAACCTAGTTGTGGTAAGAGAAGAAATAAGAGACTTGGCTGTTGTAGTTCAAAATACTATAAAAAATATTTGAAGAAAACAGAGTAAAGTCCTTGAAGTCACTGTTCATAAGTCACATTACTGTTACATCCAGTGAGAGACCCAAACTTATTCTTGAATTTGTAATTTTTTTTTGAATTTTCGGTATCTTTGTCCTTTTATAGATACCAGGAAATTCTGTTGTAAAACATTCTTGATACACAACTTTGTATTTTCTGAGTTCAAAAAATGCTGCTATCATTTGACTATTAACTACAGATGATTAGTGGGAAGCCAGAGACTGGAGCTTACCTCCTCTAGAGCTCATGATTTCTCCCAGGGAAGCAGAGAAAACTAAGATTCTCTTAGGGGCGAAGAAAAATGTCGAGTGGGTAAGTTAAAGATAGAATCTTGGAGCTGGAGAGGACCTGTAGCAGGTATAATTGTATCCTTTTAGTTCTTACTTACTGATTTTCATTCTTCTAGTTCTCATCAAATTAAAGCAGGAACGTGGTTCAAAGTCAAACTACGAAAGAATTGAAAGCAATAATCATCTCATGATTCCCAAACAACTGTTTCACACGGGCACCGACTTTCCCCTCAGCTTGCTTCCCCTAACTACAATGCACACAGAGAAGTTTCACCCCAAATAACCAAGTTTAGACCTATGCCTAAACATTATCTAAGTGGAGCCATTCAACGTAAATACTTTTATGTGTGGATTCTTCCACCCAGTCATTGTGTTTTAATATATATATCCAAGCTCTGTGTGACTGTGATGGCTTCTTTTTGTGCTGTAGGCTTTAATTGTGTGAACACACCATAGTGTTTTGTCCACTCTGTCATTGACGTGTGTCCCTTTCTGTTTTTGGCTCATAGAATTAACGTGCCTGTGAGCATGCGTGTGCATACACCTGGCATGTGTATAAGCATGCGTTTCTGTACCCCAGGTTTCTGGCCGTGGACTGTTGTGTCTCTGGGATACGTGTCTTGCCCTGTAATTGGTCGAGCGTCAAGCTTTCTTGCACGGTTGTGTTACGGCTGGTCTGCGTCCCCACGAACAGTGCACGGGGATGCCCCTTTTCTCCGTGTCCTCACCAATACTCACATCTTGTCTTTCTGGTAATAGCCGTTCTGACAGGTATGAGGTGATACTGTGGTTTTGGTTTGCATTTCCCTGGATTGCAAATTACTTGTATTTTTGATACTGAGTTATATGAGTTCTTTGTATATGTTGGAGTTTAACCCCTTATCAGATGATTTGCAAATATTTCCTCCCATTCCATAGGTTACCGTAGTTGAGTTGTTAAGTGTACTTTTTGTTTTTTATGTCCTGTTATTTGATCTTTCATTTCTCTTTTATATGTTCTTTTACAGTAATTGTTTTTTTTATTATTCCACTTTTTTCTTCCTTTACTAGCTTTTTAGTAATGCAGTCATTTAGGTATTTTTTGTTTTTTTTTTTTAAGTGGTATTTTCACCATAAGCTTAGGGTGCTGCTACCTTGACCAGATATGTGGGAAGAGTTTTTATTTTTATTTATTTTTTTTTTACATTCAATGAGAATTTTTATTTCAATTATCCATAAAACGGTGTTATAATACTTTGTAAAAATATTAAGTTTTAGGCCACTGGTATTTTCTTCATTCTTAATGTTCCTTTTGTTCTTATTTTTCAGAGCTTTTGGGATAGACAGTCACCATGTTTAGGTGTTAGCAAGCACACACGTGTATGCCCACATTTGAAAATGGCAGAGGGAAATAACAGTGAAGAAGTAATTCACTTGAACAACTTTCACTGCCACCAGGGACAAGGTGAGTGTTGGTTCTCCTTTTCATCTTGTTTTTTCCCTTAGCGATCCAGTTATATCTTCTTTTTTATTTTTTTAAAGATTTTATTTATTTTTAGGGGGAGAGAGAGGGAGAGAAACCTCAATGTGTGGTTGCCTCTCATGTGCCCCCAGTTGGGTATCTGGCCGGTAGTCCAGGCATATTCCCCAACTGGGAATCGAACCTGCAGTCCTTTGGTTTGCAGGCCTGTGCTCAGTTCACTGAGCCACACCATCCAGGGCCAGTTACATCTTCTTTAAAATGAATCTATTTTGCACCATGCAGAACCCAGAGTTGTTTCATTTGTAAGCCTCAACATCAGGTATAAATGGACTAGAATTTTGTGTCAAACGGTGACACTCGCTGGCAGGACGGGAGTTGAAGGATCTCTCGTCATGAGCAGGTTAACGAGCCGTGACTCCGCAGGGCAGAAGGAGCTGTGGTCATGCGGCCCTGGGGTCTCAGGAGACCGGAGTAGACCGCAGTGGCAGTTCTCTGTGTCTGGAGGGGGCAGCCATACGGAAACCCTCCTCCAGACCCGCAGGGCCCGGAGGGGCTGAGGCTGCTGCTGCACCACTTCTGCCCCCCAGGTGACGCTTGATTTCTTTTCGCCAGAAGACTCTGGTTTAATTCCTCTAAGGAAATTTTAGGGCATGTATTCTTTTGTCTTACAGTTGTTTAAATTGGGGGAAATTCATTGATTCATAAAGGGAAGGGAGCTTGCATTTCTATAACTTCATTCTTAAATGCATATGAAATTTCCTACCAAATCCTAATTCCCATTTATACATCAGTAAACGAAAAAATTGTGTGCTGAGTAGGAAAAGATAATTTTTTTGCAAGTATATGGAAGAGATTATACTAGGGTTTTTTTTTGTGTGTGTTTTCTGATTGATAATATTTTGTGCTTATGAAGATGATTTTTTTCTAGCAGAGGGTAATTTATATATATTTGGCTTTCAGAGCATTTAAAATAGAGCAAATTTTATTAAGCAAATAAATTGAGGAAAATAAAATGGCTTAAGCTATGCAAATTAAGAGTACTACAAAGAAATGCTGATTTTTTAAGGATTTCCTTATTATACTCTAACTTGGTAGTGATTGTAGCTGTAATTTACTGTGATTAAGAAAGTTTTACATTTTAGCTATAATTTGTATATATGATCATTTCCAAATTTTCTGAACGTGTAAAAATTAACGTAGTTATTTTAAAGATCTAATTGGTTTTATTAAGCGATTTGTGCATTGGGCAGCCTCTCGTCCAGCAGCTAGAAGGGCGCTCCCTGGAGGTGTGTGTTTCTGTCACACAGGTTTTGTATATCCCGCCCCCGTGGGGGGGATTTCTTTTTAGGCCCACGGAGTTGTTTTGTTATTAGCTGTACTTACAGTTTTTATTATGCCATCCCCTGTAGGGTTTTTTTGGTGATCTTTATTAAGCTATAATTTATATACAATGAATTCACATATTTTAAGTGTATATTTCAGTGGGTTTTGAAAAGTGAGTACACCCATATAACCGCCACTTCAGTTACGACACAGAACATCCCGTCAGCCCAGAAAGACTCCTTTGTGCCTCTCTGCAGTCAGCCTTCACCCCGCCCCTTCCCCTGAGGATGCCGCCGACCTGCCTTCTCTTGCTGTGCGGGTTCCCGTAAATGGAGGCCTGCGGTGTGTCCGCCTTGTGCCCGAGTCCTCCTGCTCGGCCTCAGTTTGCAGTCCATCCACCTTGTTGCAAATGCTTCATAGGAGTAACTCAGTCCTTTTCAATTGCTGAATGACATTCGCCTAGAATTCTAAACCCAGTGGAAATAGGCTTAAAAATTAAGATAAGATAAAGGTTAAAAGTGTAGGAATGGAAAAGGTGTATTATGCAAATAGTAGCTAAAAAAAGAATTTGTATGTCTATATATTATCAGATAAAATAGACACCCTAGCCAGAAGTATTAATGAAGATTTCATAATGATAAAAGGATGAATGCACTGGGAAGTTAAAACAATTTTAATCCCTGCAACACTTAGTAACATGGTATCAAAATATACGAAGCAAAAATTGGCAGAACTAAAAGAAGAAATTAACAAATCCACAATCACAATGGGAGATTTTAACATGTTTCTCTCGATAACTGAGAGAGAGCAATCACACACAAACATTTGTATGAGTATAGAATATTGGGGGAACATGATCAACAAACCTGACATAGACATACATGAAATATTATATACCCAATGTATTTATCAAAATTGGCCATATTTTGAACCACAAAATAAGTTTCAAGTTTCAGAGGATTGAAACCATATAGATTATGTTCTCTAACCACATTGGAATTAAGCCATAAATCAGTTACAAAAATATAATAAGAAAAATCCCTATATGTGTGGAAAATAGGAATGCCCTTCAGAATAATCCATAGTTCAAAGAAACTACAATGAGCTCTGGTTGCTGTGGCCCAGATTGTTGGAACATCATCCAGAGGACCAAAAGGCCATGGGTTCGGTTCCCGGTCAGGGCACGTACCCAGGTAGCACATTCCCTCACAGTTGGGGACATATGAGAAGGAAACTGATTGATGTCTGTCTCTCTCTGCGTTTGGCGTGTGCACATGTGCTTTTTCTACCCTCTTCCCCTTTCTCCCTGCCTCCCCCCTTCCTCTCTCTCTAAAAGTAATTTTAAAAAATGTCCTTGGTTGAGAATTTAAAAAAATAATCACAATGAAAATTAGGAAAAAATTTTGAACTTCAGGATAATGAAAATACAATCTATTGAAGCTTATGAGATGCACCTAATGTCCTGTTTTGAAGAAAACCTATATGTGCAGCCCTGGCTCGCGTGGCTCAGTGGATGGAGCGCTGGCCTGCAGACCAAAGGGTCGCAGGTTTGATTCGCATTAGGGCACATGCCTGGGTCATGGGCCGGGTCCCCAGTGGGGGGCATGCGAGAGGTAGCCACACATTGATGTTTCTCTCCTTCTCTTACTCCTTCCCTTCCCCCTCTCTAAAAATAAATACTTTTTAAAAAATCTAGTATCCTGCAGCATGAATTAGGCCACTTCTGGCTGGCTGCCCTCTCTCGCAGGGTGGGTTTGAGCCTTCTCCACTCGGCTGGAGCTCTGGCCATCTGTTTAAATCCCTTGCCAGCTCTTGTCTCCGTTCCTCTCTGTGTTCTTGAGAGGTTATACTGTTAAGTTCCTTTGCTCCTGTTTTGGTTGGGTTTTAGGAGGTGGTGAGGATAGTCACTTGAGTTCATTCGGCCAGATTTGACCAGAAGACCTATATCACGTACTTCCCAGACCCTCAGTTCAGTTAGTTGTTAGATGTATCGTTCTGTGTGGGTAGCAGTGGACTTGAAATCAGGCAGCCTTACTGCATGCCAGGTACTACAATAAACAGGCATTTTATGTGACCTCTCTTAATCTAATACAACTACTCAAGGTGGGCACCATTGTTAACCTTTTTGTAATGTTGAGGAAACGGATGTTAAAAGTAGATAACAGCGGTGTGTAGCTGGCATGTGGTAGAGCTGAGATTTGAACCCAGGCAGTCTGATCTCAGAGCACATAGACTTAGCTGTTTCCAATTGCCGTCTCTGGCATTACCACAGCTCTGTTGCAGGACTGAAATGAGATAGTTGATTTTCTACTGCTTTTCAAATTGTTTGACGCCATAAAAATACGAGGTGGGGCAACAGTAGGTTTACAGTTACTCCTATGGAAAGCAGTACAACAGTTAATAGTACAGGCATCAACTCTGTTTTGCGTACTCACAACCGTAAGCCTACTTTTGCTATACTCTGTATGTGAGGCCTTAACCTGGAGAAAGAAATTAGACATTTAATGGAGGAATTTCAGAATTTGTAATGTGAGGCCTCTTATTTGTTCCTTTTTTTATTTTTAAACCTTTTTTTCTAGGACAGTTAATGCATTTTTCTCTTCATTGCCCATTTTAGTTTTAACAGTTTCATGAACAGGTAAAAAATAACAGTTTGTGTTATTCAGTAATTCACATCCAAGAAGATTTCTTTTCAAACAGATTAAGGGAATTAGAGACCCCAAACAGAATTACTACATATAGATGTAAGTTTAACTGTGACTATATTTTAAAAGAAACTGGAAAAGTTAAATTGCTTACTGTCATAGATGCTATATGAGGCTAAAACACTGATGTATGTTTGTATAAATGATACTTAAGGTTTAAGTCTTAGGTGAGCAAATTTTAGTATATTAAATATTAAACAAAAATTTTACTATTTTTGAGTGAAAAATTTCTTCAGACCTATCAACTTGAATGACAGTGCTTTATTCCCTGGGAGGATTAGAGGTGAAATTGGAGGCCACGATTTCACTTTTAGGAAATTGACAGATTTTATCAACATATTTCGCCAGCCTAAGAAAAAGTTGATAATCTTGAGCATAGTAATTGTTATATTTTCTCAAGTGATTCCCAAAATGTATTATTGGTGAAGATCAGCATGAAAACATGGCTCTTAGTGCTTAGGGGCATGTGCTGCTTGAAATACTAGTAGCCATGAACTTGGCTTTAGACTTGACCCTTTCCATGCGAAGCTGAACTAAAGGACTGAATGGGACTGTGCCTGCCTCCTGGTAACAGTGTTCCTGCCCACTCTCAGACTGGATCAATCTCCGAGATGGACCCATCACCATATCTGACGACTCTGACGAGGAAGGAGTTCCCATGATGATCACCCCGGCTCCTCAGCAACATGACGACGAGGACCTGGACGATGATGTCATCCTGACGGAAGTGAGTTTTCTTAAACTCTCCATGATGGGGCATTACTGCAAGTTGTAGTGACCCGATTCCTCAGTCCCGGGCCTTGCGGCGGGACCGCCGAGAGCCCTGCACGTGCCGCGCGTGTAGCGGCCCTCTCCATGCGCAGGTGTCCCGTGTTCCCGAGCGCAGGCCCCTTCCACCCTGCCTGGTGTCCCCTGACCTTCGGAAACCGTGAGCCTCTGCGTTTCCGGCCTTTCCGGCACCGTCGCCCGTCCGACTGCTCGGGTGCTGGGCCGCTGTAGTGCTTCCTGCAGCCTGCGGCGCGTCTCGCTGTCGGGCGGCCCTCGCCTCCCGTTACTGCGTCTCCTCCGGGGTCCCCCTGGGTATTTTCTGCTTCTGTTTTATGTACATGTGCAGAACAGCTTTTCTAATACATGTAGACAGACAGACAACATCCTGTTGTTAAACTTACAGACCAGTCATTACAGTCTTGATCCTTTCTAAGATCACGTTTTGTCAATTTATTTTTTTATCTTTATTTTTTTTAAGTTTTGTCCATTTAAATGTCTGTTGATTCTTATATTAAGTTCATACTCAGTCACTTTATTTTATTGTCTGTAGTCATTCTTTCATTTGACTTTTTAATTTCTCAAGGGATGGCTTATTTATCTGCAAATCGTGCTTATAGCTTCTTCCTTATCTGATGATATGAAGTGAAACCTCCTCACAGTTTTAAGTAACAGTAGTAATGGGCATAAGAAAAACAGCCACCGACATAAATGAGAATACTTCAGTGTGGTGGCAACTTTTGTGCCTGAGAAGACATTTTTAGAGGTTATGCCAAGGAAGCGGCCATCTGCTTGGTTTCAGGTCTTTATCAGTCAGTGCAAATTCTGTTAAATTCTGTGTATTCATCTCCAAATTTAAATACTGCTTTTTAATACATTTTAATTCGTATACGTTTTTATTTATTTTTATTATTTTATTTATTTATTTTAGAGAGAGGGGAAGGGAGAAGAAAGGGAGAGAAACATCAGTGTGCAAGAGAAGCATGGATTGGTTGCCTCTTCCACACCCCCAACTGAGGACCTGGCCTGCAACCCAGGCATGTGCCCTGACTGGGAATCGAACTGGCGACCCTTTGGTTCGCAGGCCAGTACTCAATCCACTGAGCCACACCAGCCAGGGCCGTGTTTATCTCATTCATTAGCCAGGCCTGGAATTGGCAGATGCACCTGTAGGGAAAAAAGTGCCCCAATGTGAGGTTCATTTTGCCATATTTCTTTCTCCTGGTTTCTGTCCCCTGTATCTGAGGCCTTCAAGTAGATGTTTTGGTTTTGGTTTTGCTTTGATAGTTTGACCAATTTTTGTGCACTTACCGTATTGTCCGGTTAATCTGAATGACCTGCCATTCCACTTCTGGACTCAGAAGCCCACTTTTGTGTTTTCTGCCTCTGTGCTGTCTGAATCACTGTGTCCCAGTAACTCTCACTTATAAGTTGGGTTTTATTTAGTGGTTCTATTTAAAGAGACTTCAATTTCATAGGTGAATTGACCTCATAGTTGTTATATAATTTGTTTTTAGTTCCCTCATAGTATTTAATATGCTTCATTTTGTTTTGTTTATAAAAGTAATTCCTCACTGTATTCCTTGCGTCTCTGAGCTTTTATTTTTATTGCTATTGGAAGCATGAGTTCTTGATTAATTTGAAAGATTTTTTTAAAAGGTTATTTACTTATTTATTTATTTTAGACAGAGGGGAAGCGGGGGGAGTGGGAGAGAGACATCAGTGTGTGGTTGCTTCTCGCAGCCCCCTACTAGGGACTTGGCCTGCAACCCGGGCAGGTGCCCTGGCTGGGAATGGAACTGGAGACCCTTTGCGTTGCAGGCTGGTGCTCAAGCCACTGAGCCACACCAGCCAGGGCAATTTGAAAGGTTTTTATCCATAGTTTTATTCTTTTTAGTTCTTCATGTAATTACGTTTATACTTTAAAATGTTGTCCTTACATTTACTATTTGATTTATCAGCTCTAAGTGTATAATTTGACCTCAATTTCTCTACTTCCCTTCCTAGCTTTTGATGGTTATCTTATTTCTACAAATCATGACTTAAAACATTTATATTAAAGAGATAACTGTTTTATCACTTCTTTGTGCCCTTGTTTTTGTATTTTGTCCGCGTTTCACCTGCTGTGTAGTGCCCATTTTCTAGTATGTGTCACTCATCTACCGTTCTTTTTTTAATAGTTAGGCATCTTTATATAGTATCTGGGTTGTTTGTTATTGTTACTTGAATTTGAATGCATAAATTTTGTTGGACCAGTTTTTTGTAGGCAGTGATGTTGGGAAAGGGCTTAGGCTAGCAGGAATTCTCTTTATGCCGAGGACGTGGGGGAGGGCATTTGCACACACGCAGTTATATTTATTTAACCTCTCCTTGGGAGGCCTCCTGGCAGAGACGGCCAGTTCAGAGCAGCCCAGTTCAAAGTTCTCTTCCCTCTGCCTCCTGCAGACGTGTGTGTCTGGCAGGCGTGTGTGTCCAGCAGGCGTGTGTGTTCGGCAGGCGTGTGCTAGAGAAGGGCCAGAGATGCCTTTATTCACTATCGTCAAATTGGACATCCATTTCCAAAGTGGACAAATTGGACACTGTTTTTTAAATTTACAAGTAACACCTGGTTGCGTTCTCTACAGAAATGATATACAGATAAAACTAAAGTCTCTTCACCGACCCCTTCCTCCCCAGGGATTTCCCAGAGGAACTGTTGTTACCAGTTTGGCAACTATCCTTCCAGATCTTTTCCTTTGAGTGTGTGTGTGTGTGTGTGTGTGTGTGTGTGTGGACACATATATATGCCTTTAGAAATGGCTATGTTATGTCTGTGTTTTGACTTTTTAAAATATGGAATTACTCTGCATATTGTTTCGCAACTTTTCTTCATGAATGACATTTCTTTGGTGAACTTCCCATCGCAGTGCACACAGGCTGCCCCTGTTTGGGGAGGGGATTTGGAGAGTGTTCTGTGGACCAGATAGTTCACTTAACTGTCTTCTGAAGGACAGACGTCAGAGCGTGTCCAGTGCGTTTTATACTGCACGTGTTGTGGCAGTTAATGTCCTTGTGTGCGCCCTCTTCAGGTACAGAAGGGAGCATAGATAGGAAAAAGTAATATTGATCGAGTGTAGGGATGTATGTTTTTTTATTTTACAAAATAATGCCAAATTGCTCTTCTGATTACACCAGCAGTTCCATATTACCTAGCTAAAATCTTCTAGTGTTATGGGTGGAAAAATCTTGTTTTAATTTGCATTTTGCTGATTATTGAGCTTTATATTTTTTAGTGTTTATTGAACAATTTCTCATGTGTTTACTGTGTTGTCAATTTTTCATTATTTTTCTACAGTTGTTTTTGTTTTAGTGGCCTTGGGTGAGATTATAATTCAAACAGTAATTCAGACTTTAATATATGAATGGCTACTTTTATTCTTATAGTGAGTATAGTATGATCAAATTTCAGTGTTACAATAAGTATGAAGAGTAGGTTTTGTGGACAAGGGTGCTTTTGTTTCTTTCCTCTCATCTCAGAAGCATGTAAGTACATAAGGAGGCATAGACATAGGAAAGAAATTGAATTATTATTAAAATTTTATTTTTTTCTTAGACAAGTAAACTTCAGACATCACGACCCAATCTCATCAAACCAGCTGCCCAGTGGCAAGATCTCAAAAGTTTGGGAGAAGAAAGGCCTAAAAAGTCTAGAGCAGCTTTTGAATCAAATAAGAACAACTATTTTTCAGTGTATAACAGCTCATTGTTTGATTCTGGGACACAGGGTGATTCTGAGGATGACTACGGAGAATTTCTGAATCTTGGGACTCCCGGAGTTTCTGAATTCATGAAGCCTCGTGGCCAAGCGGAAAGGGAACCCAAGCCTGGGCCAAGCCATAACCAGGCCGCAAGTGATGGTGTCAACCCCGGATCAGGGCCAGAAGTCTTTATCTGGAGGAAAGGCAGCCTCCTCATCCCAGATAGCGACCCTTTGGACCCTCAGAACCAGTCGTCGGAGTCCTCAGAAGACTCGGAGTCAGACCTGCTGTCCAACCTCGGGGAGTCGGCGGCCGTCCTGGACGAGCAGGCCATCGAAGAAGACTGCTGGCTGGACCACCCTTACCTGCAGCCCCTGAACCAGCAGCCCCGCGAGGTCGCAAACCAGGTGGTTCCTCAGGAGCGGCAGCGGGGCCCGGACCTGGGCCCACTGTTCTTTCAGCACGAGCCCCTAGGGCTGGCGTTCCCGAGGCCCGCTTTTCCGAGACCGGTGCCCCAGCAGGATGGGGTTCCAGGCCCCTCTTCTCCGCAGCCGGCCCACCCCCTCGGAGAGCTGGAGGACCAACAGTTAGCCATAGATGGCGACGAGCCAGGCCCAGCCTTTCCGCTGCAAGGATCTCAGGAGCCCACTTTGGAAAACCTTTGGGGGCAAGAAGCTTCCGAGGTCGACCAAGAAGCCGTTGCACTGTTAGTGAAAGAAACAGTAAGTTTTCTCTTATTAAATAAATAATTGTAGGCACTACATCTACTGAGTTTTCTTTTATTGCAAAAGCATTATGTATGTGCACTTCATTGTCCTAAGGGGTACAAAGCTGCATTTATAGAATGGAAGAGAAACTCGGAAAACATGAAAATTAAATCAGGATTTCCTAATCTGTTTTTAATGCCCCAGCAAGCCCTTTGGGGTTCTAGCTGCAGATTGTGGATACCCCGGTGCTGTCCCGTGAGCAGTCCCCCAGTTTGTAAAATGGCATCAAGTCAGCTCCAAAGTCAAACCGTTAAAGCAGGTTTGCCAGGTTACCTGGAACTGCACTGTCCAAGGTGATAGCTTCATGCGGTGGTTGAAGTTAAAATGCTTTACAATTAATACAGTTTATAGTTTCGTTTTCAGTGGCAGCAGTCACATATTAAGTGCTCTGTAGCCACATGGGGCTGAACAGCGGCCACATTGGAAAGCACAGAGCAGTGCTTTCCCATCGCTGCACAAAGTTCTGCGGACAACGCCTGCCTGAAAAGGAGTGCAGGGCTTTCTGCCCTGGCCCTGCTGCCCTTGGCCTTTGAGTCGCCTCTCGCCCCTCCTTCCTCCGCGTGTTTTCACTTGCCCACTAGGTCACAGGCTGCTTGGGGTGAGCACGAGATGGTGCTTTATTCGTCTTTGGACTGCCTCCGCCTGGGCAGGCATGTTTAATGGGCATTGAAAGAAGGAAGCATGTACAGAATGGAGGCAGAGGACCAGGTGGTCTCTCGGGACCCTTCTCCATCCCACACTCTGTGCAGACGAGTAAATCTGGGCCCTCGTGTGGGGTTTGAAGGCAGACGCAAACTTGCTTTATAGCCCTTTTCTAGTTTGTACTCGTTTATATACTTTCTGACATCTGGTTTTTATTGCAATTTGAAACCATTCTAGTGGATGAAGTATAAATAATGTTTTTGTTCTTCTCTAGGAAATAAGATTTCCAGATGTAGCAACTGGGTATATTGAGGAAATCATTCATTTGAAGAATTACTATGATTTGAATGTGTAAGTATACCACCATGCCTTTTGTAATTTTTTTATTGTAATAAAACATACAAATTTATAATTTAACCATTTTCAAGTGTATAGTTACATTAAGCGTGTTCACATTTTTACACAACCATCACCACCGTGCACCTCCAGAGCTTTCTCATCTTCCCAAGGTGAGACTCTGTCCCCGTGAAACTCTGACCCTTCGTTCCCCCACGCCTTCTCCCCAGCCCCGGCACCCGCCGTTCTCCTCTCTGTCTCCGTGACGCCACTGCGACTGCTCTGGGGGCCTGGGGGCCGTGGGACCGCACAGGGTGCGTCCCGTCGTGACCGGCCTGTCCCACCCAGCAGCGGGTCTTCTCACACGGTCCTGTTGGAAGACGGGTGCCTTCGGTCAGACCCGGACGCGTTTGTTTTTCAGTCGCATGGAACCCTGCATGTTTGGCTAACCCTGAGCACTGATACTGCCTGTGTTTGGGCCAAGGTGTTAGGGGACTTCGCCCCTAGATTTGTGCCGCAAGTGCCTTGCAGCCAGTGTGCCTGCTGAATGGAAGCGTCTGAGTGCAGCATGGAAGAAAGCCTCCTTCCTCTTCCACTCTTTCTCCTCCTCTCAGTCTGCGGGGGGGGCATTTGTGGGTTTGAAGAGGACAGTAGAATATTGAAATTAATCAGTTTTCCTCTAATTAATACAGGTTATTTTAATTAGACAGAAGACGTAGTGTACACTTCCAACCCCCTAGCAGATCATTTCCCCCACACACCACTTTGAAACCACCGGCTTCATTCACGGGTGGGCCATCCTAACAAAATAGTCTTTATTAGTTGACTAAACTTCTGGTATCTGGCAGTTTTTTGGCCTTTGGGAGCCACACTGACCAGAGGAGTACCGACTGGCAAGTTTAAGATGGAGGAGCTGCTCCACGTGTGGCCCGGCGCACGCGCAGGTGCGCAGGTGCGCAGGTGTGCAGGCGCGCAGGTGTGCAGGCGCGCAGGTGCGCAGGTGTGCAGGCGCGCAGGTGCGCAGGTGCGCGGGGTTACTTGGGTTTCCAGGCTGTCCCCGCAGACGGTGCATTCTTCGTGGGGGCTGATTCTCACGTCAGCCTCCGAAGGTCTGTGTAACCTACACTGCTCCTCACTTGTCATGGAACAAAGAATTAGCATCAGTGAGGGTGGTTTAGAGGTGTCTCTCCTTAGCTACAGTTATAATATAGGGCTTTCCCTCCCTGGGCCTCTGGTATTGTGGTTCAGCAGTCAGGGCTGGTGGTAGGGAATGGGCTTCTGGGACTCCGGGGAGTGATGGTGGAGAAAAAGGCGCTGAGCTGTGCTGACCGGTCTTGGAGCGGGATGAGGTGGGGGCTCCGCAGCCAGGCCGGTGCTGAGCGTCGTTGGGGGGGTGGGGCTGCAGAGGACATTTGCCTCCCTGTTTTTTGGTCCCCAAACACTTGGGTGAGGAGAAGAGCTGGAGGTGAGCATGTTTCCTCTTTTCCTCTTGTACCTGCCTCACTATTAGAGGCTCTGCTGCTGACACTGGTTAGGAGGGGCCTGGGGACAAGGGAGTCAGGTGAGAACATGGGTGGGGCACCTATGAGCAGGTGGAGTCATCCTGAGGATCTACAGGATCCGGGAAGGAAGGATGGGGTAGGCGAGGCCTCACTCGCCCTGTGGGCAGAGGAGCTTTCTCCGAAATGCCGAAATGACTGGGGCTACACACCACCCAAGCTGACCGGCTGATCTTGAACTTGAGAATCCTCCCAGGAGCACACTTGGCTGCCTGATTTGGGTGTTACAGGTCAGCCTTGCTAGTTAACAGTTGTTCAGTCTGGGTGGGGATACACCTGTGTGTTACCTTACTCTGCACCGTCGCTGGTGCAGAGTTTTGTGGTGGCGATGAAGAGACGGGCTCTGGGCTCGGTGACAGGGCAGACGTGGTCTGTGCCTTTGGCCTTGCAGGCGGGGGAACACACAGGTGTCACTCAGGTTGCTCATGGGCGTGGGTGGGACCGCAGGGTTGTTTCAGAGGTGTGCGCGATTGACAGCAGGGCGTTTACGTGCTCTCTCGGCAAACTCTTCATTGTGAACGTGAATACACACTTTTTCGCACCCCTCATTTGTTACATGTTTTGTGTTTTTTTCCACAAATAGGTACTTTTCATCAAATTCTCCAGTTCTGTACAGTTCAACCAATAAGAATTTCAGTGACTTCATTACATTGACACCCAGCCAGTAGAAAAACTTCAGAGGGCTTTGCTTTTTAAACTATTAAGCAAAAACAGAAATTCAGTGTAACTGTCTTTTGTCTATTTGCTTTGTTTTTCTGACCTGCAAACATTTTAATCCTTGATAGGTCACTTACAATGTGTAACTAGGGACTTCATTTTTCAAACATTGCTTTTGAATCACTGGAAAGGTGTGGGATTTGGAAGCAGTATGAAAGCGATGTCATTTATTTTTGCAGAATTTGTAATTTTCTTCTGGAAAATCCCGATTATCCAAAGAGAGAAGACCGGGTGATGATCAACCCCAGCAGCAGCCTGCTCGCCAGCCAAGACGAGACGAAGGTGAGCGCTGTGCTCTCGCCCCGCCGCCTGTGCCCGGGAGTGCTCTGCCTCGTTGCTCGCCGCCTTGACGGGGAGGAACGCTTTGTCGGGACACTCTTTGAAAGACTGGCCGGCTGAATGGGATTTCAGAATACACTTACATTTCAGTGGGGCCTCCCAGCCTGAGCCACTTTGAATTCTGTGTTTACCTTCTTTCACTGTAACTCGCTCTTCCCCGTCTCATGAACTTTTAAATCCTCCATATCTTTCATCCTGCAAAAGTAAGTTCCTAAAATGAAACAAGAATTTGCCAGAATTTTTTGTGTCATCTCAGTATTTTTTAACATTGAAAATTGAAAACATGAAGAATTTTAAACAGATAGGCGTGTCAAAAGATTATACGTTCATTACCTACATACCCAGCAGCAGTACCGTTAAAAGTGAACATTCTACCAAACCCACTTTGTCACATTTCTACCCCTCTGTCCGTCAGCACCTCTCTCTCGTGTTTTATTTCTTGTATTTTTACTATAGTGCATTTAAAAGTAAGTCATGCTCTGGCCAGGCGGCTCAAATGGAACGTCGTCCCGTACACCAGAGGGCTGTGGGCTGGATCCCAGTCAGGGTCACGGGTTCACGCCCTGCTCGGGGTGCGTGCATGGGAGGCAGCCAGTCGATGTTTCTCTCTCCTCTCACCCCTCCTCCCTCTCTCTCTAAAATCAGTTAAAAAATATATACTCAGGTGAGGATTTAAAAAAGTAAAATAAATTTTAAAAAATTGCAAAAGCATCAGTGCACTGCCCCAGGGTCTATAGTTCTGATGTAAGATTTATATACAGTGTGTACACCTGTGTAACCGAGTCCTGTATCAAGATATAAACAGTTTGACTTTTTGAATCTTAATTTTTGTCTTCATTTGTGGTCCACACAAGCACCTAGTGTAAGTAGTGAAGCGAAGTGTAGTGTAGAACGGCTTCATTGGGGTCTGTTGCTCCTACCTCTATCTCCCACAAATTCTTTTGACTTACCTCTCTTACATATTTTGTAGCAGGAAAAATTAATTTTTAAAAGCACTTTGAGGAAAGAAGATAACTAAAAGACTGGGTTCAAATCCCCAGCTATGCTTTTTTAGTAGTTCTGAGTAGCAAAACTGGTCTGTAGACTTCAGACAGCCACTTAACCTCTTTTCGTCACCATTCCCTCGTCTCTCCTCGGGGCTGGTCCCCCCTCGATGGGTGGCTGTGAGTGGGGCGCTTCCGCTCCGGGGCCCTCAGCCGACTGCTCTCCCGGGAAGCGCGCTGCCCGGTCTCTGATGCTGTGCCTCTCTCTCGTTCCAGTTGCCCGAGGTAGACTTTTTTGACTATTCCAAACTGGCTCCTCTCGACCAGCCCTGCTTCATCCAAGCTGCTGACCTCCTGATGGCCGACTTCAAAATGCTCAGCAGCCAGGACATCAAGTGGGCCCTGCATGAGCTCAAAGGACACTATGCAATCACCCGAAAGGTGCTCTACTTCGTCTGCTGGTGGGGTCACACCTCTTTGCTGCTTCTTCCTGTGATAACAGAAGGAAGAGTTCCCCTTGAGGAAATCGGGGCAGTTTATCATGGCAAAGGGCTGAGGAGTTTGTCAGGGTGGAGATAAATAGACAAAGGTATTTGCTGATCAGGAAGAACTGAATGAAAAGAAATGATGTATTAGAAGCAGCGAGGTCTGGCTTGACCGTGAAGACACGCAGGGTAATGGGTTTTATCGTGGAATGCACGATGGCTGGAGTATGAGAGATGGGTTCCTGTGCTGCTCCCCCCTCTTGTGCTTTCTGGCTGAGGGCAGGCCACACCGTCCTGTCTGGCCCAGGTGGCCCAGGTATCGGGCACACCAGGCAGAGTCTGCCCAGTGGGCGCTGGTTTGCCTCAGAAGGGAGTGAGAGCCCCCGCTTTTTATTTCCAGGGCCCTAAATAAGGTTCCACTCGAGGGCCTCCGTTCCAAGGCTTGGAAGAGGGCTGGTCACTAGTGGGTTGTGCGGACATGCCTCATTAGTGACGTCCGTGGCACGTGCCTCTTCCTGGGGGTCAGACAGGACGGAGCAAGCACCAGCCGAGCTTCGGTTGTCCTCTTCCTCTCTGCTGCCGCCATGCACTCCATGTGTTCCGCTGGGATTGTGGTGATTTCCAGCAAACATGTGCTCTTGTGCGGAGGAACAAACACACGTGGAGTTATTTTAGTGGTTCGAGCACCCACCGTGTCTTAACCTGAAAGAAGGTGAACCACAGGTGAATGCGACCTCATGCTGAGCCTAGAAGCCTTCCACCTTTGAGTTGCCAAGAAGATCCAGGCAAGTCTCAACAGACTCCAGATTGTAGGTTAATTTTAGATAGAATTACTCCGAAGGGAATACAGAGTTAGTGCTTTCTATTTCTGAGTCTCATTCCCTAAATTATCTGAGTAGGAGATGCCTGTACTGTCATTGAAAAGTGAATGAGCTTCCCCCAAAAATAACTGCAAGAAGCAGTTCCCTCATCTCGAGGCCCTGCTGGCACTGTGCAGCTGCACGTGCCTTACGCTCGTCTGAGCCCCCAGGGAGCCCCCAGAGAGCCCCGTGGAGGAGCGAGAGGGCTGCAGCAGGAGACGGCTCCTGTGGTCTCCGGTGGGCGGTCCTCATCAGTGATGCCCCTGCGAGAGGTTTGTTCATCGCACGGCCCACTCGTTATTTGGGTGGGAGGTTGTAGAATTTTGTGGCTCAGTTTCCCTCATTAATACCTTTCTTATCCCTTTATCTTCCTGGCCCTTTACATTTTTTATGGTGTCTGCTTGTTTTGGTGTGTATTTTGCAACTTTACAGGCTAGCTGAATGAAAGTGAGGTGTTTGAGAGCAAGCACTGTTTGGCAGAGGCTAAAACCTGCACCCAGTGCAACTTGGAGCTCCCCCTGCAGTGTGGGGACGACACTCGAGGGCTCTGCCCTCTCGAAAGTGACACGCACGTGGACGGGGGTGTAGCGGGCATGCCCAGAGACGACGTGTAACTAGTGAGAGCAACAGCGTGCCTTCCCTGCGCACGCTGCCCCCCAGACACGATGATAGCGCAGGGGAAGTGTGTTTGCCGTGAAGACAGTCGCGTTCCCCTGCAGTGTTTTTTCCTTTTCTTCTGGAAACATCAGGCGCCTGTGGAAAGGGTTGTGCTGCAGTGAGCCCGCGTGTGCGCGTCGCTCGGCGTCAGTGACTCCCAGCCACTGCCGGTCTCGCGCCGCCTCCCTCGCAGACTGTTCCGGAGCAGACGCCGAGAATCATTTCGTTTTCTTTTTCTTTTAAGACTTTATTTATTTATATTTAGAGAGGGGTAGGGAGGGAGAAGGAGAAGAAGGGAAACATCAATGTGTGGTTGCTTCTCATGCACCCCCTACTGGGGACCTGGCCGGAAACCCAGGCATGTGCCCTGACTGGGAATCGAACCTGCGACCCTTTGGTTTTCAGGCTGGCACTCAATACACTGAGCCACACCAGCCAGGGCCATTTTCTTTTCATCTATGACTGTCTCAGTGTTTACCTTTAAAAGATGAAGAATTTTTTTTGAAAACCATAATCAAAATGCCATTATTATATTAAAAATTATCATTATTAGGTAGCCAGTCAGTGTTGATATTTCCCTGAATGTGTCATGACAACCTGTTTGATCACGCTGGGTCCCAAGTAAAGTCTGTTTGTTTTAGTTGATTGACATGTTATTTAAATTCTTTTAATCTTTAAGTTTTTGCTCTTTCCTCCTCCCGGCTTGAGTCTCTGTTTATTTCTCAGCTTTTTTGTCATTAAATTCCTGGTACAGCGTTTGTAGGCCATTCTTTAAAGGAATTTTGGCCATTGCACAGATATTCTAAAAGTCTTAGTAGATCGTGTCCTGATTCTGAGATCTACCACCGCGAGTGGGTGTTTGATTTGTGAACGTGAGCAAGCCAGAGGACAAATGCCAGTTAATGGCGGGAGGGAATCTTAGCTTCCACACCCGTGTTCCTCTGGTAGGTTTCGGGGCGCTCTGTGATGGGCACCGGCTGTCCCCTGAGGACACCGGCATCGGAGCACGCAACTAGCTTCCCTCCCAAGAGCTGGATTCAGTCTGTTTGAGAAGATTAAAGAGAGAGATGAAAACAGTGCGATACTTAGTATCACAAAAGAGAGGTACATGAAAGCCTAGGAAAGAAGTGAAGAAGGTGGTATTTGAACAGAATCTCAAAAGAAGAGATGTTTTCAGTAGAGGAACACAGCAAAGGCTAGGAGGCAGGAAAAGCAGCTGCGGTGCCTTGGGGATTTGGAGGTGGGAGTCCCAGCTAGCGGCCTGGGCCTCTGGCAGTGCCAGTCTGTGACTAGGTCTTCCGTCACTGTTAAGGTTAGGATAGGGGATGATCGTTAATATAGCTATGAAAGTAAGGTTTCGGAGGCTCCTTTCATTTGTAGACAACATTTTGTTTTAGACACAGTTTCCTGACAGGTGCCAGTTTGTGTTTATATGTATGGGTTTCTTTCTGCTAAGTAGGAGCATTTAAGTGGGACAAAGGTAAGGGCCACAGTTTACTTCTGTGAGGAGCCTCTGTGTTCGTGTGTGGCTGCAGACCGGGTGGGCCACCAGATGTGAGCTCTGAGCTCACATTCCAGTTTGATTAGTTCCTGATAAAGGACAGCTACCTCGTTTATAAAATGCAAATTCTAACACCTGTCCTGTGTCCTTTTCTGAGTTTTCTTCACAAATGGCCCTTTAGGTGAAACTTGTTAGAAATTACTAGTCTCACAGCTGAGTACAAACATGTGACTTTAAGATTAGTGCCTGAGGGTTTGTAGGGAAGCCCTGGGAGAGTGGGAATTCAGGAAGAAGAGACAGAAAGCAAGGAGGAGGTACCGCAGCCCTGGAGGATGTTGATGGAGGTAGAAAAGTAGCAGGGTGAATGTTGCCCTTGGCCAGCTCTTGGTAAGGGTTGCCCTGAGTCTGGGAGCCCATAGGTACGTCAAAGAGGGGAGCTTTAGATCTGAGCTGGCTCAAGTTCAAGTCCTAGCTTTAATGAAGGGTTGACTGGGGGCAGGTTCATTCATTCCCTCTAAGCCCTACTTCCCTCTGCTGTAAAACAAGTGACACCCCCTCGGGGTCATTGTGAGAACTGACCGAGATAAGGAGCGGGAAGGTGCACAAGTCGTGCTGAGCTCCCAGGAGGTGCCGGTAGCAAATGGTAATTCCCTGCTGATGACCACACCTAGGGGCTCGGAAAGGAGAGGGTAGGAGGCAGATTAAGATGAAAGGTGATCCTTCCCTCTTCTGTAGCTAAAGTACTTTTTTTCTTGTCCTTCTGCCGTGGAATACACAGCTGTCTCTAAAATAAACCGGTCAGAATGAGCGTCATTACCAGCATCCCTATAACACACACACAGCCCGGTTAAAAGCTATGCAGGTGGCTGAGGGTATACCCTGCGCTACGGTATCAAGAGTCCAGTGGAGAAGGTAACATGACACAGCGTCACACAAATAAGTGTATCATTGCACCTGTGACAAGTATTTTGAAAGAAGAATGCGAGAGCGTGAGGACCTAAGGGGGACTGAGCGGCTCCAGGAGGGCCTCCTGGAGCCAACGACATTGAGTCATGAGCCTAAGTGTTGCATAAGTAGGAGCTGAGTAAGGACCCACGGAAGGTGGTGGTGTTCTCCCGGGGCGAGGAAGACTGCAGGAGAGCTAGTCTGGAGGGAGGATCACGAGTCCTGTCTGGGCAACATTGGCCAGCAAGTAAAAACAATTCATTGTGTGGTCGAATAGACACGAAATTCGGGGGGTAGGATCAGGGATGGGGTTTTGAGAGTCGTCGGCGTATGGAAGGTTACCCCCCAGCCTGGATGAGGTGCACGGAGGGACAGGGCTGCCTTGGGGACTGCCACAGGTAAAGCCCAAGGAGCGGAGGAGGCTGGTGGAGGAGGGGCAGGCGGGGAGGAAGCTGTCAGCGCCGCGAACCCTGTTGAAAGGGCAAGTGGGGCTGAAAGCCAGCTGTTCCAGTGAGCCCCGTGTTACATGCTGGATTAGCAAGTGGAAAGGTGGGGTTTGATCTTAGTTTGAAGTTGGAAAGTTCATGGGAAGTGAGCTGTTGGAACCTGTACAGACGACTCCTTTGATAAGTTCGCCTGCAAAGGAGGGGAAGGAGGCCAAGAGAGGAAGGGCTTTTCTTTTTTTTAAGATGACAAAGACTTTAGCACATGTAAATGCCTGTGGGAAAGATCTAGAAAAGGGAGGAGTGAAAGGTATGAAAGAAAGGGGATTGTCACTGGCCTAAGAGCTTGGTGCTCCGGGACAAAAGGGAGAGCCACTGGGCTGGCGGGGGCAAGAGTGGGACAAGGAGAAGCACCATGGAGAGGGAGAAGCAGAGAAGCACCATGTGGGCTATGCCTGTGAAGTACAGCTCGCTGGCCATTTGTTGAATGATTTAACTTGTACTTGCTCAAGGTCAGCTTGAGCAGTCTCTGTTAAGTTGCCCTCTAATTTGTCAACGGGCATTTTGGTTCTGCCGTTGTAGCAGTTTATGAAAGTCTGAAAAACCAAAGATATGAAATGCTGCCTGTTTCACCACTGCCTCTTTCTGTGCGCCCTGCAGGGGAGGTAATTAAAACCGAGTCAGCGCGAGGGTGGGGATTGCCTGCGTTTCACGTATTCTTGAGTCCCACCTACAGTGGTAACCTTTCCCTTTCTCCATTTTTAGGCCTTTTCTGATGCCATTAAAAAATGGCAGGAGCTATCTCCAGAAACCAGTGGAAAAAGGAAAAAGAGAAAAGAAATGAATCAGTATTCTTACATAGATTTCAAGTTTGAACAAGGTAAGGGCCAGCTGTGTGAGCGGCTGCGGTGCAGAACCGGTCCCTCCCGTGCACTTGGGAGGGGCGCTGCGGGCGGCTGATCAGTGTCCTCGAGCTCGGTCCGGGCAGTGGCCCTCACATGGACTGCTTGGGCAGCACCTAAGTATTTTAAAATAAAACGTGGCTACAGCTGCCATCTTCCTTCTTCCTGCCGAGGAGGCACGTGACAGGAGGATCCAGTGCGGGGTTGGAGAACTCCCGCCTGGCGAAGTGTTGGGGGGGGACTGGGCGTGGCTACCTGACCAAGTTAGCTTCTCACCAGTGAGACACTGTCTAGACCAGGGGAGAGGGATGGCTCACTGCCGAGGGCTGGCTCGCTCACATACCCGAAGAGTGGCTTCCCACAGGACAAAATGAACAGCTCAGAAGCAGCCACTTGTTTATTTAAAATTCTGTTATTCTTGTTGACGAAATAACTGCCCAGAGCTCTTCCTAGTTAGATCAAGTCTAATATCCCCAAAAGGTAAACATTTTGAATTTTACAATAAATTTCATCTGAGCTGCTTGTGTCCAAGCTTTTCCAATATATGATGTCATTGAGAGAAACCTTTTCTGTGTCTTTCTGTTGCATCTGCACCTAATTACATAACTTGGTTTTAGGGATGACTGTGTGGAGAATCCATGAGATAGCTGTAGGGTTGGAAAGTATTTGAATTTCTGAACTCTTCAGAACCTAAAAGGAAATGTTCTGGGCTCTGACCCCTAAGGTCCCCGAGCGAGTCTGTGAAGCGGTGCCCTCCCGACGTGTCACTGTCACATGTCTGTGGCAGAAGGAGAGAGTGGGGACAGTGCGTGAGTGGCTTTTCGTTCAGCTACATGTGTCCACACCTTGGACGAGGCCTCCCTGACGCATCGTCATGTCGTATCTGCTCCTGACTTCCAGGGGCAGGGGAAAGGAAACGCCACATCGTCGGACCATCCACTCCCTTGTCCGTCTGCTCTGTCTTTTAGAACGTTCTTTTCTTATCGAGCCAAAGGGTATCTTCCTGAAATCTGCCGTGGTTGTAGCTCTTGCCTCTGGAAAGACTTGGAAGCTGTCTGTTGCCACTCGTCTTCCCGATTTTCCTTTTGTGTGTGCCCTTGGCTAGCCTGTCAGTGTCTCCTTGAGAGCGCGGGTGCAGCGGGCTGGAGGAAGCACTCCAGGTGAGGCCTGCTGTGCAGAGGCGGCCGCTGGGGTTCCGCTCTGCGGCTGAGTCTGGAGAGCCTGAGAGTGTCGCAGCTTCGTGTCGCCCCTTTGGCTCACGTTAGGCCCTCGTCTGTTCACCCACCTTGTTTTTAAGCCACTAACCTCTCTCCGCTTTGATGCATGTGACATCTTTCCCCGTTAACCTCATCTTGTTAGCCTGGGCCCATTGTTTTGGGTATACCCCTCTTAATAGGGGAACTGGGAGTAAGAAGTAGAAAACATACTTGGTTTCTGTAGGTTTAGTATTTATGACTTACAGATGCACATAGCCTTGTTTGACAGCAGCTCGTTAAAAAGCACATAGGCTACGAGTCCTTCATCTGACGCAGCGATCCCACGTTTCGCCTTCGTGGCTTGTTTTCCGCCCGGTCACCGCTGTTCGGGCTGCACGTTGCTGAGCTCAGAGGCGGAGACAGGGTTCCCCCTCAGCTCTGCTGTTCATGGTCCTCGTGAACTGACCGCCGCACGGGCTCCCGGGAAGAGTCTGGAGAGAGTCTGGATGCATGTGGATAAAAACGCAGCCTGTCCTAGCAAGGCGGACCAAGAAGAAACAGGACCCACAAATGACGAGTGTCGGGAGTGCTCGCTGTCTGCAGGGGCATCGGTCCAGACCCTGCGGATGGGTGTCCGGAGGGAAGCGCTGTGGAGAACTTTCACAGTGCTGACCACCTCGGTGGCGGGGGCCAGTTACTCAGAAACACGAACTGCCAGCATTTGCCCATACGGAGCAGATAATTTAAAGAGCCCCACAGCTATGAAGGAAACTGAACGCATCATTTTAAATCTCCCCAAAAAGAAACCTCCAGCCCTAGTTGGTGTCACTGGAAAATGCTCCCAAACGTTTTCACGAGAGTGAACACCGATTCTACACCGTTCCTTTGAGAAAAACAGAAGAGCAGGAAACATCTCCTGGTTCACTTTACGGTGCTAGTGTTACTCGGATGACAAAACCAGAGGAAGACGCTCAGAAAAACTACCGACCAGTTATTCCTCGTAAACATAGATGCGAGGATGTTTAATAACAATATTAGCAAATAGAACTTACATATACATGCATGAAGTGTGTTTATATAAATATGTAAAAATGTATTTTAACGTGCACCAAGACCGAGTAGGGTGTATTCCAGGGATGCAGGGCTGGTTCAGTGTTCAAAAATGATGTTGGTGCATCCACTGTATTGGTAGACTCAAGGAGAGAAGGTACCTGGTCGTATCAATTGATGCGGAAGAGGTGTGTAACAATACTAACATCTGTTCACGGTTAAAACTCCGCGAGTTAGGAATTGAGAGGAGCTTCCTCGGCTCGATGTCTACAGTGAAATCTGTTCTGGCATCATACTGAAGGGTGAGTCTGTCCCTCCCGCCCCCGAGATGGGAGTACGGGAAGGACGGCCTGTGTTCACCGCCGCTCACCACAGGCCCGCAAGTTCCAGCCCGCGCAGCACAGAAAAGGAAACAAAGGTACAGGTCAGAAGGGAGAAATGAAACTGTCTCTTCAAGCAGATGACGTGATAAGTGTGCATAGAAAACTTTAAAGAATCTACCTCAAACTCCTGGAACTGTTAAATGAGTTCAGTACGGTTGCAGGATATAAGATCGGCCAACAAAAACCAATTGTATTTCTTTCTGCTAGCGATGAGCATGTGGAATCAGAATTTAAAATACACCACATACAGTCGCTCCGCCCAAAATTAAATGCTTAGGTGCAAAGCTGACAGTGTCATCGGGACTTTTGTGATGGAAACTGTACACCTGAAGGCAGGCGAAGAAGTTACAAATACACGGAGACACGTGCTGTGCTCACGGTTGGGAAGGTACAAGTCCCACAGGCAGACCTCGTTTTACTTCCCTTCGCTTTATTGCGTCTGCCCTTCCATCAACGTGCAGGCAAGACCCTCCACCGGCAAAAAGAGAACAGCTTGCTGAAACCTCAGGGGACGGCTACCATTGTTTAGCAATAAAAGAGTTTTTTTAACTAAGGTGTGCACTTTTTTTTTTTTTTTTTTTTAGATACAATGCTGCTCACCCTGACTGCTGAACAGAGTTAAGTAGGGGCAGTCAGTCTGCCTGACTTCCAGACTGGCTCCGTAGCTACGGTGGCCGAGAGCAGGCTGACAGGGAAATAGACGTGCAGATCGATGCAAAAGAATAGAGAACAAAGAAAAACTAGTTTTCTAACTTATATTTTATTTTTATTTAAAAAAGCTAGTGAGGATGAACAAAGAAAACCGTTTCAGGAACCTTACATAGTAGGTATTACATGGGCTGCGAACGTGAGCACAGACGCAGTAAGATTTGTGAAGGCAGAAATTTACGAGGAACAGGCTGTTGTGAGGAAATAGGAAATCTGGGTGGAGTAGAAAGTTTTCTAGGAAGTGTAAATTATCAAATCAACAGAACAAACAGAAAACCTGAACAGACCCGTTTCACATGACGTGATGTTCATCACTCTGTGGTCTTCGAAGTGTTGTTCACTGTGAACCTGGGTATTATTCTCTCGGCCCTTCCGTTCGCTGTTCTGTTTGGTGTGCGCCTGCCAGCACGGCGGAAACGGAAAACCGGGGGCCCCGGGCGCCACCGCGGCTGTGCAGTGCCTCGGCCTCACGTGTTGCTGGGGGAGGAAGAGCGTGCGTGGGAAGAGCCGCACTGGAAAACTGGCTCTGTGTTCTAAAGCCGGTCCAGCGATTTCATTCCGTTGCGTGGGCGCGACTGATTGCGGCTGTGTGCTCAGTAGCCCAGTTTATACTGGCCCCAGACTCCAAGCCCACCTGTTCTCTGTAGAGGGCGGGTAATAAGCCGGTGCACTCGCACAGCACAGCGCAGCACTGACAGGATAAGAGAGATGCTCTAATTGGAGCATGGGGGGGAAGAGACGTGAAAGTCAGGGAGAGCACGTGGGGTCGGTAAGGGGCCGGGGTGGAGCCGGATTCCCCGGGCGGCGGGGCACGCAGGGGAGGAATGAGGTGCGCTGCAGGATCGGGGGTGGGGCCCAGGCCCCGAAGACTCGAGGCTGGCCTGCCTGGGCTCCTAGCGGACGCCCATCTGCATGACGTTGCACTGTCGTGTCTTCTAGGTGACATAAAAATAGAAAAGAGGATGTTCTTTCTGGAAAATAAGCGGCGACACTGTAGGTCCTATGACCGGCGAGCCCTCCTTCCAGCTGTGCAGCAAGAGCAGGAGTTCTACGAGCAGAAAGTCAAAGAGATGGCCGAGGTAGGAAGACGGCGTGGGCGTGTATCTGGGGCTCGGGCTCGCTGTTGGGGCTTAGTATGGAACTTCGACGATTTGCATTTTCTTGTGTGTGGTTAATTTGAATAAACTATTCAGGTTTTACTTATTTATTTTTTAAAGATTTTATTTTATTTTTAGAGGGGAAAGGAGGGAGAAAGAAGGAAACATCAGTGTGTGGTTGCCTCTCACGCACCCCCTACTGGGGAGCCGGCCCACAACCCAGGCCTGTGCCCTGACTGGGAATCGAACTGGTGACCCTTTGGTTCACAGGCCAGTGCTCAGTCCACGAAGCCACACCAGCCAGGGCTAAACTATTACTGTTTTTAAAACGAAAAGAAAACTGAGTTTTGTATTGATACTGACTAAAGTTCACAGTTTCATACATCAGATTTATGGTAGAGAATTTTAATTGGAGCTTAGCAGCCATTTCTGTTTGACTTTTCTCAGTGTCTGATGGTGGAGAAAAACCAGAGAGGGAGTCCATTACGCTCTGTAATTCTCCCAAACATGCTACCAGATGGCGAACAGAGTATGTGTGTTGGCTACTAACATGTGTTTTCTAGACCAGCAACTCTGGAAGCATGACCCATGAACCCCTAGCCGCCTCCTAGGCCCTTCAGGGGTTCTGCGAGGTCAGCTCTCTAGGAATCATGATAAGACACGGCTGACTTTTTCACTGCGGAGAATTTATACAGACAGAACAAAAGCAGTGGTGCCTTAGCATGAGTCAAGCCAGCAGCACCAAATTGTACCAGAAATCATAATTTCCTTCACCACCACGCACTCACATGTTTTCAGAACATCCGTGTCCCCTGATGCAGCAGATGATAGGTGGGCTGGTGACTCAGTGACAGATGGGTCAGGACGACTTGTCCAAAATTCTGATTTCTAAAACATCTGCGTGAAAGAGAAACTTGTCGGTTGCCCCTCACACACTCCCCGACAAAGAACCAAACCCACAGCCCAGGCATGTGCCCTGACCGGGAGTTGAACCGACTGCCTTTCACTTTGTGGAATGTCCAGCCGGCTGGACCGCACTAGTCAGCGCCCCAAAATTCTGGTTTCTGTTTGAGATCTGCAATTTCATTTCATCACCGCCACAAACAGTCATCAGTTTTGAGGGAATGTCTGCCAAATATCTAAAGTTTTTGCTGTTTTTTTTTTTTTTCTTTCCCCCCACGTAAAGACGGTATTCTTTTTTCAAAGAAAAAAGTGCCTAATTCAGCAGCTTGCCGCTCGCGGCACCAGGGCTTCTCCCGGGACGGCCGCGGAGCCGGGCGCAGCAGGAGCACTCGCACGGTTCCCCGTGATGTCAGAGTGCCGGAAAGATGATGTGGGGGTCAGAATCTGATAAAGTAGATTCTAAACCGCTCAACTGTGTAACTGAAGAGAAGACTGTTAAGAATAGCTGTTTATGTCTGTGGAAATAAATTGTAAACGGCTTGTGACATCTTTACTAAACTTCTCCCTGCATGTCTGGCTTGTTGGTTCCTCAGCACGAAGACTTCCTGCTTGCTCTGCAGATGAACGAAGAGCAGTATCAAAAGGTATTTTGAAAACTCACCTAGTTCGTTTATTCCGGTATTTTTCATAGGCTGTGTTCTCTTACCACATTTCCTCAGGGTTTTGATGGCACACTCGTCCCCAGATAGGCGCCCCTTGTTCCGCCGAGTGTGTAAGCGCAGTGCAGTCGGCACTGGAAACCTCACCTGCGCCCTCCTGCGGGAGTGGGCGGGGCTGAGGGGAGAGGATGGGGGCGGGGGGGGGGGGTTCCCTGTCACGGGACGCTGCCTGCGGCCCACTGAACGGGCTCTTGCAGGCAGACTCAGAACTCAGACGTCACTCAGAGTGGAAGCAGGGGTCTCTCTGGCCTCAGGGCCAGGGGCTCTGGCGCTCCCTCTGTCCTTCACGTGCGGCCTTTGCCGACACGGTGGGGATGCACTTGGACTGCTGCCTTAGTTGGCTCCCACGGTTACTGGAGACAGAGCGCGGGTTGGGATGTGGTTTCCCGCACTGCGCTTTCCCAGCAAGACTGGGAACGGCTTTTGAGATAACATTGTTCGTGCCACTTGTCCCTGCCTCTTAACATCGTGTTAGCAGTATAGCCTGATCGCAGGGGGTATGGTTCTGCTGGCACCATGGAATTCATGAACAGGATAATGGTAAACAAAAGGTGACACCAAAAAACACCCCCAAAAGTGAAGACCTCACGTTCGTTAACTACGTGTCAGTGCTCGTACTGGCGTCCGGAGCTACGTTTGTGCAGCAGACAGCAGCTCGTGGTTTCCCGGCTCCCGGGGCAGCTCTTCACCTCAGGGTGCAGGCAGGGTAGGGGGGCGAGCCCCGCTGCCCCTGCTTACGTGGGGGTGTCTCACGTGTGCTTGTGGCGGCCCGCAGGACGGCCAGCTGATTGAGTGCCGCTGCTGCTACGGGGAGTTCCCGTTCGAGGAGCTGACGCAGTGCGCGGACGCCCACCTGTTCTGCAAGGAGTGTCTCATCAGATATGCCCAGGAGGCCGTCTTCGGGTCCGGAAAGGTAGGAACCGCGGGCCGTGCCCACAGGTGGGAGACGCGTGTGCAGACGCGTGTGGACATCCCCCCGTGGGAGCGCCTGCTCCGTGCTCCGGAGCGGGTGGAGCCCTGCTGGGACACGACAGTGCGTGCGGGTGCTCGGCAGCCCGGCCCGTGCGACCGCCCGTGCTGGTCCCCGGCACAGCTGGTTTCTCTCGGGGAGCCATGCCCTCCCCTGCCGCAGCAGCACCTGCTGCTCCCCTCGGCTTCCGGTGCGGAAGGAAGACAGGGGACGCGCTCAGAAGGAGAGGGTCTTGCAGCCTGTTTGAAGGTCTGGGAGTGTAAATTAGTATTTTTAACAGGTTCTTTACACATTTTTAAAGGACTTTATAGTTGTAGTAAAATCAGTAACTATTTTATATGCAATCATACTTCACCTTTCAAAGTCAGTTTCTCTTGACAATAGCATAATAGGGGAAGGAGTTTTGTGTTGTGTTAATGAACATTTAAAAGCCCAAATTGCCTTTCGTAAATACCCACCAATACTTAAATCATTCAACATCAGTTATCTGAAGGTAGTTACAGTTCAGTCAAGACCCGAGGAACAGTTATGAGCAGGGGGTTGTGATTGGCAGAACAATGCCCCGTCTGGCCCCCCGCCCCGTGGGCATCCGCCTCCTCGTCCCCAGAACCCGAGCCTGTAGCACCTTCCCCGGCCCGGGGGAATGGAGATTGCTCCTGGTGTCACCTTAAACTGGGGAGATGGTCCTGGAATGTCCAGGTGGGCGCAGTATGTTGGCAAGCGTCCTCAGAAACGGACAGGAGCAGCAGAGGAGGTCAGAGTGCTGCAGTGTGGGGCCGCAGCCTGCTGTGAGTGGCTGCAAGGGTGAAGTTCGGAGCCCTACGGGGTGGGGAACTGGAGGCTTTCCACACAATCCCGGGGCTTGGAGTGTGCCGTCCATTGGTTGCCCCGCCCCCCGCCCCTCCCCTCTGCCTCCCAGGGTGTCTGGGCTCCGCCTTTCCGGGGGGCTCTAGTGGGAACCATCGCCAACGTGCTGCGCTCGAGGGTCTCCTTTTCAGATGCTGATTGTGGCCTCCCCCTCCACTCCGCTGTGCCTGTCACCCTTCCTCACCCGCCATCCCCCCTTGTGTATTGGGGTTCGGGCTGATGGGGGTCCTCTGGGGGCGTCAGAGAGGGGCCTGGTGCTTTGTTTCCTAGTTCCCTTGCTGCTCAGAGAGGAGAGGACGGGCAGGTCTGTATCGTCTCAGAACCTGTGTTCCTAACCACCAGCCACTTGCTCTAGCTGCATTTAACCACCGAGGCCTTCCGTTTTTCCGAAACGGTGGTTGAAACTTCTCGTTCTCCTTTGTGCCCCCTGACCTCACCGTCCTAGTCGGAGCTGAGCTGCATGGAGGGCAGCTGCACGTGCTCGTTCCCCGCCAGCGAGCTGGAGAAGGTGCTGCCCCAGACCGTCCTGTGCAGGTACTACGAGCGCAAAGCCGAAGAGGAGGTCGCTGCGGCCTACGCCGACGAGCTTGTCCGGTGAGTTCTCGGAGCCCGAGCGTGTCACCTGTCGACTCACCCTCCGGCGGGGAGGCTGCCTGGGCCCTTGGGCCAGGGGACGGAAATTCTGTGGCAAAGCGTATCTTCCCGATTTTCTGGCATTTCTTGCTGAGCAGTAAAAGAATTGGTAATGGGAAAATCTGCAGTTCACACTTTTGCCTACATTCCTTGGCGTCCTAACCATCTGCCTTGTAGGCACAGGCGCTGTACGTTGGGTTGGAGGAAAGGTGACAGATGTGGGGTGGGAATTCTCAGAAAGGTGTGTGTATGGCGTGGTTTGCACTGGGACGGGACCCAGATGGCACCCGCATTTCCTGGAAAGAGCCGGCACAAAGGAGAGCCTCGGTCGTGCTGCCATGAAAAGACGGGAGTGAAAGGGGGTGTGGCCATGCAGCTGAGAACGCCATCGCAGCGTGGACGTCGTGTGGAACCACACCCGGCTTTCCTGTTGGAGTAACGTGCCTCTGCTCTTGTGACTGCAGGTGCCCCTCCTGTAGCTTCCCCGCTCTGCTGGACAGCGATGTGAAGAGGTTCAGCTGCCCCAACCCTCGCTGCCGTAAGGTAGGGAGGCAGACTTTTTTCTACATTCATATTTGAATTATGGCATTACGAGCTGTAACGGCACAGACATCTCCTGGTTATCTGCGTGATGACCAGAGAGAAGGGTTTGAGTACTCCTCTTTTCAGGAAAGCAAATGAAGATCGGTATTTGGTGAGTGGTGGTTGACATGGTAACAGAAATGGGGCCAGTTGTGGAACTGCAGTTGCAACGCTCTGGCTCTCCGTGTTGTGCCATCTTCCCGTAAGGGCACTGCCACGTGAACTGTGATGTGATGAGTTTTGTGTTCTTCCACAATGCCAGCATTATTCTTGGATTCTCTTTTCACCACCCCGTTGTGCTCCACGAGTCTCGTAGCCTGCCGTTTCCAAAGTCCTGACCTCACTGCTTTGATTGAGGGATGGGGCATCATGGCGGCATCTGTTACGTGGGGTAGGTCATTCACTTCACTGTTCTCGTGAGGAATGATTGTGTTTGGTGAGACTGAAGCTGCCCAGTCACCTCACCGTTCAAAATGTTTCTTCTCTTTAGACGACTATTCTGTGAATTAAGAATATCTTAAATTTGTCAATGGTTTATAAGCCACTTAGAGTTTTTAATGTATATTGGCATCCACTTAACAAATGCCTTGTTTTTTTAAGATTTTATTTATTTTTAGAGAGAAGGCAAGGAAGGGAGAGAAAGAGGGAGAAACATCGATGTGCGCGAGATACATCAGTGATGTGCGAGATACATTGATTGGTTGGCTCTCGCACGCCCCCAGGTGGGGGCCCCGCCTGCAACCCAGGCGTGTGCCCTGACTGGGAAGTGAACCGGCGACCTTTGGGTTCACAGGCGAGCACTCAATACACCGAGCCACACCAGCCAGGGTTAGACAAGTATCTTTTAAGCAGTTTTTCTAAAACACAATAGCATGATCAGAATTGAAAATTATATCTCTTCCTTGAAATGAAAGTAGATATTGGAAAAGGAAGAAAGAAACTAAACTAATGGACATTTTTTATTTCAATGTTAACATTTCTGTGTAAAATCTGAGTGTATTCTTATAACTGATGTGTTTGTTTAGTAATGCGTCCCCTCCTCAGGCTGTTGCTATAACAACTGTCCCAAGAGTCTCTGGCGTCTTAGAACTAAGCACACGGAGGGACTGACAGGCCTAAGACGCAGAGAACAAGGAGACAGCAGCCAAGGGAAGGAAGGGGTGGGGGTGAGGTGCGAGTGAGGGTGTTAGAGTGTTCCGGGTCCGAGGAGCAGTAGCATCCTGGACGCTGACTGCACTGGGAGTGTGGAGGGGAGGTTCACGAGCCGGGTGGGGCCGGGGGCCGGTGGCCTTGCCACTGCTGTGAGGCCGGGGGCGAGGGGGTGAGGCACAGGGAGACCCGCTTGGCTGTCGAGGGCTCCAGCTGGAGACACATACCAGCGCCATCCTGCCGGAGTCTCCCTGGACTGATAGGACGGCACTGGGGTACATTTTCGGGTGTGATTCCGAAGTAGACGCCCTAGTGAAAGTGCTTGTGTACGACTTAGAAGGCCAGTGAGGAGGAGCGGCCGTGGTTCTCCAAAGGCCATTGCAGACAGTCACTGGGGCACACAGTGAGTCTGAAACAGCGCCCACGAGTGTCAAGACATCCAGCCTGGGGTGCCTGTGAAAGCCTCCCAGAGGTTCTTAAGACCCTAGGCAGAAACACCAGATATTCTGCTTCACCTCTGTGGGAGAAATACGGGTGCCGTGTTGAACTTGGAGGTGACCGTGTAGCTTCTTCTGGCTAGTGAAATGTGAGTGTGGGTGAAAGAGGTCACTTACGTGAGAAAGCAGTAAAAGCGTATGCTCCAGAGTAATGTCAGCGAGATGGTGGAAGAGACAGCCTCAGACCCTTCTTCCCCCGAAGTAGCCCTTATTCATCAATACACAGACTGGTTCCCGTGGTGAGAACGCCAGAAACCAGCTAACAGGCTCTTGTACTCCGAACAGTGGGAAGCTAGCTGCAGTGAAACCTGTTACAGGAAAACCTTGGAACTCACACCACAGCCCTCCTACCCGCTCGTCTTGGGGGAAACTCTTAACCCGGAGCTCCTCCCTGGGAAGGGAGTGAGAAGAGTGGAACGTGCCCCTAACGTTCAGACTTCTCAAGGGGCCACCCAAGGGGCTGGCTTCTCTCTTCCCTGACTCGAAGCCCTGACGGGGAAGGGCCCCGGGTCGGGCACTGAGAACAGAGGCGGTGGTTCGAACTGGCATACACTCGCTCAGCATTGCTTCCCCTCCGCTCAGTGTGGGAGGAAACCCCCAAGTCCTGGCGTCTCCCTAAGCAGGGAGAGCGTTGGAGTGGGTGTCCAGCATTCCAGCTGTTGGAGGACTGTGCGAGGGCCTGGCCTCTGTCTCACCTGGCCCCAAAGACTGACAGGCCTCTGAGAACAAAGAACTGGGCATCTTCAGCAGCCCCGGAGAACCTGCACTGCTGCAGACAGACACCAGAGGGAGCAAGAGATTTTAAGCTGCTGAAAATAGAAAGGAGCAACACCTCTCTAATTGGTAGTTGACAGAGTCCAAAGAAGACTTGTTCTCAGAAAAGGCTTCAGAGGTTCTTCAGATCCAAGCCAGGTGAAGATTTCTCCCTGAACAAAGTCTATAAAAAGTAGGAAAGATGACTTTTTCAGATGTGTGGGTTCCCACACAAAGTAACCAGGCACAAGAAGAAATGTGGTCCAACAAAAAAAACAAATCTTTAGAAACTTACCCTAAAGATAATGGAGGTATATGAATTACTTGACAAAAATTTCAAAAACATGGAGATGCACAGTGAGCGCAGGAAAATGGTATGTGGGATGATGAGAATAAGAATGTGAAAGTATCAGCAAAGGGAAAATTTTATTTATTTACTTATTTGCTTACTTTCAGCCTCACCCAAGAACATGTTTATTGATTTTCGAAGGGAAGGGAAGGAGACAGAAAGAGAGAGAAACAGCAGTTGGCTGCCTCTCACATGCACCCTGACTTGGCACTGAGCCTGCAGCCTAGGTATGTGCCCTGACTGGGGACTGAACCCATTCAGTTCACGGGCCGGTGCTCCAACCAGCTGAGCCACACCAGCCAGGACGAGAAAACATTGAAAAGAATCGAACAAAATTTGGAGCTGAACAGTATAATCAGTGATTGAAAATTTCACTAGAAGGGTTTAACAACTGACTTAAGCCTGAGAAAGAGTCAGCAAACACAGGTTATTTGAAATTAATGAGTGAAGCAAAAAGGGAAAAAAAAAAAGTAAAGAAAGCTTACGGGACATATGAGGCACCATCAGCCAGACCACTGCATGTGTTTAGAATATCCCAGAAGGAGAGGAGAGAGAGAGAAGCAGAAAGCATGTTTGAAAAAATAATGGCCAGACTTCCAAAATCGGGTGAAGGAAGTAGACGTCCAGACTTAAGAAGCCAAATGCACCTGAATTAGGACGGAATAAGACATTTTATAATCAAATTGTCAAAAGTCAGAGACAGAATTTTTTTTTTTTAGATTTTGTTTATATTTAGAGGGAGTGGAAGGGAGGGAGAAAGAGGAGAGAAACATCAGTGTGTGTTTGCCTCTCATGTGGCCCCCAGTGGGGACCGGGCCTGCAGCCCAGGCATGTGCCCTGAATGGGAATCGAATTAATGACCTTTTAGTTTGCAGCCTGCGCTCAATCCACTGAGCTACACCAGCCAGGGCGAGACTTTAAAACAGCAAGAGAAAAGCAGATTGTCATATACACTGGAGATCCCAAAAGATTCTCAGTAAAGCAGAAACCTTGCAGGACAAAAGAGAGTATGCTGTATTCAAAGTGCTGAAAGAATAAAAGAAGAAACTGCTAATCAAGAATACTGTGTCCAGCATGAGTTTTCTTTATTCGCAGATAAACAAAAGCTGAGGGAGTTTATCACCACTAGACCTGCTGTAACAAGAAATGCTAGAGGGACTCCTTCCAGTTGAAATGAAAGGATGATGGATAGCAACACAAAAGTTCGTAAAGGTGTAAAGCTCATTGCTAAAGGTAAATATATAGGCAAACAGAATACTGTAATGTGTGTATATGATGTCACTTTTAACTCTGGTATAGAATTTTAAAAATCAAGAGTATTTAACTATAAAAATGCTTTTTATAGTTAATGGGTACACAATATAAAAGATGTAATTTGTGGCACTAACCTGAAGAGGATAAAAGAGTAGTTTTTGTATATGATAGAAGTGATCAGCTTAACACATGATGTGATAAATACGCGCAGGGGAAAGTGGGAACGGAATCGGAGCATGTCACCACAAAACAATCAGTGAACCGTGGAGGCAGCAAGGGACAGGCAGACTGCAGGACAGAACAAAATGGCAATAGTTAAGTTCTTCCCTATCAGTACTAACTTTAGCTATAAATGGATTAAACTCCCCATTCAAAGGACGTAGAGTGGATAAATGGATTTTTTTTTTTAAAAAGAAGTAACGGTATCCAGTTATGCACTGTCCACGAAAGACTCGTATTCAGTGGCACACACAGACTGGAGGTGCAAGGGCGGGGAAAGAGGACATCGTGCTCGGTGGTGGAAAACTGGTAACTTGTCTGCTGAGGTCAGCAGAAGGGCAAGGAGGCCCACCGGCCACTTCTCTGTGACGTCCCTGGAGGTTCTGCGAGAGCAGCAAGCCATAGGAAGTAAATAAAAGGCATGCAGGTTAGAAGGGAAGGGGTAACGTTACCTCTGCTTGCCGATGACATGATAGTTTATGGGAAAACATCAACTGTGAAATTCCACTTTTTACAAAACGGTTAGAACTAGCAAATTCAGCAGAGTTACAGGATACCAAATTAACAGGCAGGAATCAGTTCTGTTTCTTTTACACTACCAAAAAAAATCCAAACATGAAATTAAGAAAACAGTCCCATTTATAGTAGTATGAAAAGGAATAAAATACTTAGGAATAAGCTTTAACCACGGAGGTGAAAGATCTGCACACTGAAAACCACAAAACGTTGCTGAAATACAC